AAGAAGACTGAAATCATACCAGGTATCTTCTCTGATCAAATGGTAAAAAAATAGAAATCAGTAATAGGAGGAAAGATGTAAAATTCACAAATATATGAAAGTTAACACACTCTGAAACAGTTTAATGGATAAAAAATGAAATCAAAGGGAACTCAAAAAATATCTTCAAACAAATGAAAGTGGAAACAATACATCAAAACCTGTAAGACACTGCAAAAGTGGTTATAAGAGGAAAGTTTATAGTGATAAACACTTACATTAGGAAAAAGAAAGATCTCAAATAAAGAACCTAATTTTATACTTCAAGGAACTAGAAAAAGAACAAACTAAGCCCAAGGCAGCAGAAGGAGGGAAATAACCAAAGACCAGAGAAGAAATAAATGAAAGTGATCAGAAGAGGAGGGGACGATTAAGAAAGCTAAACAAGTTTATACTGTACAGCACAGGGAACCATATTCATTATCTTGTAATCTATCGGTGAAGAAGAAAATGAGAACAAATGCATGTATGTTCCTGAGACTGAAGTACTGTGCTGTACACCAGAACCTGATACAATATTGTAAACTAACTGTACTTCAATAAAAATACATTTAAAAAAAGAGAAACCTAAAAGCTGGTTTATTGAAAAGTAAAACAAATTTAACAAACTTTTACCCAGAATAAGAAAAAAAGAGAAGACTCAAATAAAATCAGAAATAAAAGAGGTGACATAAAGTGCTACCACAGAAATAAAAAGGATTGTGAGAGACTACTATGAACAATTATAGGCCAACAAACTTGGATAACCTAGAAGAAATACATACATTCCTAGAAACATACAACTTACTAAAAATGAATCATGATAAAAAGAAAATCTGAACAGACTAGTAAAACAAGGATATTGAGCCAATAATTAAAAACCTCCCAACACAAAAAAAGGCCAGGACCAGATGGCTTCACTGGTGAATTCTATAAAACATTTAAAGAAGAATTAATGTCAGTCCTCCTCAAACTCTTGCAAAAAATCAAAAAGGGAAAACTCTCAAACTCATTACAGGAGGCCAGCATTACCCTGATAACCAAGCCAGAAAAGAACACTACAAGTCTTATAAACTACAGACCAGTATCCCTAATGAACACAGATGCAAAAATTCTCAACAAAACATTAGTAAACTGAATTCAACAGCACGTTAAAAGGATCATACATCACGATCACGTGGGATTTACCTGAGATGTAAGGATGGCTAGCATTTGCAAATCAACTGTGATACACCACATTAATAGAATGAAAGATAAAATCGTATGATCGTCTCAACAGATTCAGAAAAAGCCTTCCGTTCATGATAAAAATGCTCAGCAAGTTGGGATTAGAAGGAACATATCTCAACATCACAAAGTTCATATATGACAAACTTACAGCCAAAATCATACTCAATGGTGAAAGACTGAAAGTTTTTCCTCTAAGATCAGGAACAAGGGTGCCCACTCTGAACACTCCTATTCAACACAGTATTGAAAGTCCTAGCTGGAGCACTCAGGCAAGAAAAAAAAAGGCATCCAAATTAGAAGGGAAGAAGTAAAATTATCTGTTTGTAGACAAGATGATCTCATACACAGAAAACTCTAAAGGACCCCCTCCCACCAAAAACAAACAAACAAACTCTGTTAGAAGTAATCAATGAATTCAGTACTGCTGCAGGATTTAAAATACAGAAAGCAGTTGCATTTGCTTACACTAACAACAAAATATTTGAAAAATAAAGAAAACACCAACTGCATTCACAATGCATCATAAACAATAAAATACTTAGTGATAAATTTAACTGAGGCAGTGAAAGGTCTATATAATGAAAACTGTAAGAAATTAAAGGAAACTGAACAAACAAATGGAAAGGTATCTCGTGTTTATGGATCAGATGAATTAATATTTTTTAATGTCCATACTACTCAAAGCCGTCTATAGAGTCAATGTAATCCCAATAAAAATTCCAATGGCATTTTTGACAGAAATAGAAAAAAGAATCCTATAATTTGTACGGTACCACAAATTACCCCAAACAATCAAAGTAATCCTGAGAATGAGAAAGAAGACCAAAGCCAGAGGCATCACACTTCCTGATTTCAATCTAGACCACAAAACTACAATAATCAAAACAGTATGATACTTTCATAAAAACAGAAACATAGACCAATGGAAAAGAACTGAGAGCCTGGAAATAAACCCTCACATACAGGGTCAACTAATAGTTGACAAGGGAGCCAAGAATATTCAACAGGGAAGGTATAGTCGCTTCAATAATTGGTGTCAGAAAGAGTGAGTAACATGCAGAAGAATAAAACTGGACCCCTATCTTGTATCACTCACAAAAATTAACTAAAAATGTATTAAAATCTTAAAAAATTAATTAAATTTTAAAAGTTGAATGTAAGAAATGAAACTGTAAAACTGCTAGAAGAAAACTTAAGGAAAAAGCTCCCCTAGACATTGGTCTTGGCAATAATTTTTTGGAAATGAGATCAAAAGCATGGTGAACAAAAGCAAAAATCAAGTGGGACTACATCAAACTAAAAGCTCTGGACAGCAAAAAAAAAAAAAGGCAAAATGAAAAGGAAACATACAGAATGGAAGGAAATATATGCAAATCATGTATCTAATAAAGGGTTAATATCCAAAATAAAGAACTCATATAACCCAATTAAAAAACCCCACAAAAAATCCAATTAAAAAATGGGCAGAGAAACTGAATAGATATTTTCTAATGAAGACATACAAGTGGCCAGAAGGTACAGGAAAAGGTAATTGACATCACTAATCAACAGGGAAAAGTGAGTGAAAACCGCAATGAGGTATCATCTCATACCTGTTAGGACGGCTAGTATTAAAAAAACAAGAGATAACAAATGTTGGTAATGATGTGGAGAAAAGAGATACCTTCAGCACTGTTGGTAGGAATTTTAAATTGGTACATCCACTACAGAAAACAGTATGGAGGTTCCTGAAATACTAAAAACAGGACTACCATATGATTCAAGATTCCCACCTCTGCATATATAACCAAAAAATATGCAAACAGGATCTTGAAGATACACCTGTACTCCCACATCTACTATAGCATTATTCACAATAGCCAAGATACGGAACAACTCAACTGTCTATCAACAGATGAATGGATAAAGATGTGGTATATATGCACAACGGAATTATTATCTAGCCACGAGAAAGAAGGAAATCTGCCATCTGCAACAACATGAATGGACCTTCAGGGCACTGTGCTAAGTGAAATAAATTAGATGGAGAAAGACAAATACTGTATAATATCACTTACATGTGAAATCTAAGAAATCTAAACTCAGAGAAACCAAGTACAAAGGTGGTTACTAGCGTTTGTGAGGTGGAGAAAATGGGAGAGATTGGGCAAAGGGTACACACTTCCAGTTATAAGATTAACAATTTGAGGGCTCTAACTTACAGCATGGGGATTATAGTAACAATACTGTATTATATATCTTAAAGTTGTTCAGAGACTAGATCTTAATTGTTCTCACCACACACACACAAAAAACAAACCAAAGAAACAAACAAAAAAACATGGTAATTATGTGTGACATAATGGAGGTGTTAGCTAGCACTATTGTGGTAATCATTATGCACCATGTAACTGTACCAAATCAACACATTGCACACTTTAAACTTACACAATGTTGTACATCAATTATAGTATGTAAACACAGCTGGAGAAAAAATTCTTTAGCAAATATTGCAAAAGAATAAAAAATTCTAAAACTTAAAATGAGGATTTAAAACATCTGGAAAATTTAAATATACAGAAAGTTTAATGTGTTATCATATGTTTTAAATTTTAAGACCTTGATGAAATACAAGATTTTAGGGAAAAATGTGAATTATTGAAACTGACTAGCTGAAGCTACTCTGTCCCCACCTCCCCTGCAATGCAACACCAGTTACAGCACGTAACAGTTACTGAGTGCTTAGGTGTACCAAATGCTTATGTACCAAGTATGAATATAGTGCTAGTTGTGTTAACTTGTTTTTTTCTAATTTATTCTTCACAATAAATTAACAATTAGGTGGAAACTATTATTATGCCATTTTACAGATGAAGAAATTGAAGCTCAGGAAGATCAGGCAACTTGTATATCATACAGATAGTAACCAAGAGACTGAAAAAGCTGTCAAAAATTACCTCCCTGTAGAACTCCAGGACCAGAAGATTTCATTAGTGATTTTTTAAAAAAATCTTTTTAATCCTAGGGTAACTATTAACTATTCTAGAACATTAATCTATTTTATTTAGCATAAGTAAGATACAAAAATCTCATACCGATAAACATTTAACAGACAAAAACAAAACTAAACTACAGACCACCATTTCCAATCTGTTTTCCACATCAGAGATATGAGTATTGAAATTCACTAAAATCTATTTCTGACAATAATCCTTAAAAAAATCTAGATATAAAGCACACTTCCTTAACATAATGAAGATTATCTACCTTAAGCCAAAAGTCAACATAATCCTCAATATAAATTTTAGAAACATTTCTACTGAAATCAGCAACAAAACAGAAATGTCCACTCTCATTATATAACACTGAGTTTGAAAGTGTAACTAAAATAAATAGGACATGAAATAAGTAGGAAGTAAAATCAACAGGAAAAAAACCACAAAATACTTGCAGACAAGTTTCTACATGGAACACCCAAGACTCAGAAAAATAGTCTTGCTAATAATAAATCAGCAACATAAATGGACACATAGGCTTTTTCATACCATAATTATTATTCAATTACAATCATAATTATTATTCAAAAATAGAAAAAAATGGATTAAATCTGCAATTAAAAAGAAGCAATATATGTAAAACTATTCATGTACTTAATAAACACTTACTAAGCACCTATTGCCACCTGTGCCAGTCACTATAAAGTCCTGGGGTTACAGAAGTGAATCAAGTAGACTAAGTGGCTACCTAGCTTACATTCAAGAAATGCAAACATGGTGCTTGCTTCACCAGCACATATATTAAAATTGGAATACAAAGCAGATTAGCATGGCCCCTGTGCAAGGATCACACACAAATTTGTGAAGCGTTCCATGTTTTTAAGAATATATGTATGTATAACAGAATTGCTTTGCTGTATACCAGAAACTAACACAACACTGTAAGTCTACTATATTTCAACCAAAAATTTTCAAAAAGAAAATCAAACTAAAAAGACAAAAATTTTGCCTCAAAAAAAAAAGCAATTATGAAGCTTATATAGAGCAGCAACAAAAGCTATATAGAGAATCATAAAAAATGACTTGAGTAAAAAGAGGCACATACAAAATTTTTGGATAAAAATACAAAATATTGAAAATATCCTTTTTTTGCCAAATTCAACAAGTATAATATAACTTATCTGTAATTTTAAATAAATTTTATACTTGTTGAACACTTGCAAATGATTTAACTAACCTGGAAATGAAAGGAAGAAACTACTGAAGAAAATTTTGGAACAACAAAAAAAGAGAGATATACCAGCAGGTATCAGCACATACCATATAAAAGGATATAGTTAAATCATAACAATTAAGCCTTTATGATTCTGTCACAAAGATAGATGGACTAATGGAACAGGTGGCCAGAAATAAGTTGGTAAATTCGAGAACTGAACACAAGAGTTTTTAAAAGTGTCAATTAATAATGGAGAAGAATGGTATTTTAAAATGGGGAAGAATAGTACTGGAAAAATTTGTTTGCCAGATAAGATAAAAAATCATTTTGGAATTTCATCTCATACAAAGTGTCAAACATGGATTAAGTAAAGACATAAAAAAGAAGTAAGACCACACAAACCAGAAGGAAATACAAGTATATATTTGACTTTTGCATGAAAAAGGGTAATGTCAATAAAACAGATTACAAAGGGAAAAAAAGAGAGAGGACTCAAGATTATAAAATTCTACACATCTAAAATCATTATAAGCACAATTAAAAGTCAAACTACAAATGGGGGAAAATCCACCATAACTACTGCTAATGAATGGTTAGCTTCTGTACTACATTAGGAGCTTACACAAGTAAGGAAAGATACCTCAGTAGAAAAATTTGCGATGACTATGAACGGACAATTCATAGAAGAGGAAATATAAAACACTGATAAATTATGAAAAAAATTATTTCAACCTCACCAGTAAATCTACTTAGGAAGTCAGACATAATCCATCACATATTAAACTGGCTGACCAGGTCAAAATTTAGTATAAGAATGGCTTTACAGAATACTTAGCAAATGGAAAACAAAATAGTCAAAATATTAAGAAATCTCAACTTTGAAGTATAGGAGATGTTGGTACAGTAGGACCATCTTCCTACTGTAAATCACTTAAGGGCAGAAGTAATGCAGCCTTTTATTTCTGCAACTTCAACATATCCAGTCAGCATACTTACGGTGCCTGGCACTATGTAATATTAAACTCATATTTCCTGATATTTCCTTAAGTAACATAAATACAACCTTAACATTTAATAACACTTTAATGTAAACCAGATAACATCTCTACCATGATTTTGTTTAGTTGCTAGAACTGTTCTGGTTTTTGAAATAAAAATATGTTAAGTGTCATAGGCCATTTTCAATACAGTAAAAAACAAGAGTTCTTTCTTGCCTTTAGATACATCCCATGGAGCATTTATTGGCTATGCAGATACTTGTTTCTCTGATGGAGTATTAATGGTGAGTGTGAGAATGCTCATGTGTACATGGTGTGAGTTGGTGTGGCAATGTGTGGTCAATAAAAAGATCATGTCTTGGTGGAAATTAAAGCCATCATTAGCTTACTTTTAAAAATAAATATTAGCTTACATTTAAAAAAGAAACATTAGCTTACATTTTAAAATATTTAAAAGCATTTAATTAGAAAAAATAAAACCACTCTAGAAATAAGTGAGCTATATGTTTAATGAGCACCTTATTCTTGAAATTAAGTACTTCAATTTATAGAAGTACTGGAATGTAAAATTTTGTAATAAGAGAGAGATTAAGCTTCAGGAACTTACTGGGACTCAACTTCTTGTTTAATTTCTTGCCATTCTCCATATGGGTTTGACTTTTTATGAGCTTTGGATTTTTCTTCATTTGGACCTGACGAATTCTGCCCTTGGGCATTTTTTTCTTTCTGTGTTTCTGGTTCAGTTCTTTTATCACTATTTTTATTTTTTTCCTGAAACGTCAAAGTCAAGAAATAACACACTTCAAGCAAAACTGCCAGGATAAAAAAAAACTTCTTTAACATAGTCTTGTTATTGATTTATAAAATAACAACACATTAACTCACTTAATTGTTTAAATTTGCATATAACACAGCACACGTACATAAAAGAATTTTAATGCTTGATTAGGTTTTTCATTAAGTCTAAAATGCTAACACACCACATGGCCAAGGCTCCTTTTTAAAATAATATAACATGACCCTATTAATGTTTTACCAGTAAAGACATACAATGGACTTTCTTATCCTCTCTTGTCCACTTTACTGCTTTTTCTCCTTACTTACATATCCAGCAGTGACCTCTCTCTATTCTGTGCTTCTTTTCAATTTAATGACCTATCACTAGACCCTTCTACACCATTATCTACTTAAAGAACTCCCTCAACCTTTTAGTCTTAACTGAAATCCACCTTCATGTTGAGGACACTACCAGAAACTCACTGGTCTATATAATTGGTAACTACACGAAATTAGAAAAAGACACACCTCTTAGAAGCAGCTCCCGCAGGAGCTCCTGGATAGGGCTGGTGCTTTTGTGGCACCCCTTCATCTAGGATAACAAAAGCCCTGTGACCCGGTCTAGCAAGTGGACCATGTACTAGATTTCAGCCTCTTCAGAAACTGCACAACCACGGGTGGCAGTCCTGGGACAGTTTTTCTGTACTTCTTTGAATGGATGTTAACTCATTCCCTTATGCTGCCAACAGCACAGTAGCATCAGTTTTCTCTTAGTAATCCTGACTACTTTCAGATAATGACTTTTAATAAAACATTTTTTCTGAAGTCATTATACTTTATACTTTGATCCTCATACAATAAACACCTCCTCCTCTGAGGCTCATGCCACCTTCTATACAAGTCTGTTCCATTTTTCCTCACATGATCTAGTGACCTCTGGCTACCATTCCATTTAAGTGATGGTTCTGGCAAATCTGGCACCACATTCTTGCTATTCGAATCCTTGCTGTCATCCTAGAGCTGAAAAATTCTCTAGCCTCGTTTTGTGAGCCACAAAGCCAGTGACTTTGGCCTTCACTATATTTCAGCCACCTAACGTCGTAAGATACTTTCCTCATATGTAGCACTCAGTGTTCCTGGAAAGATCACAAAAGTAAGAGGACTAGGAATACTATTAATACTATTAAAATGTCTGTTCTAGTTTCCCGCCATGGCTGGGCACTCAGCCCCACGTGTCAATACTCTTACTTGGTTATTTCCTCTTCCACTCTGGCTCAGTGACTATTTTAATCCATTAATGTTGCCAAGCTCCCCAGAGCTCCTCACTCTCAGCAAGCCATCTTGATTTCTTAATATATGAGTAAACTGAGGCTAAAAGGCATGACTCTTTTCAATTGCTTCCCTGACACCAACTCATTCATAGGCATACCTTCTCACAGATAATGAAAACCTGATCTTATAGAAAATGAGTTTATTACCTGTTCAAGACCAACCTATCCACCTACCCTTGTTGGTATTCCTTTTCTGCTTCCTTTGGAAGCCCTCTCAAAGAAAACATCACCACCACAAATCTCTCATGATTAAAAGTCAATATGCAGTCATTATCTTATCATCTAATTTCTACTTTTTATTTCATATCCAAACCACATATATACTGTGAACCGCTTTTCATCCCCCTGTAGTCTGAGTTTTCCCATCTAAAACTTTGGTATAACTACTACCAGGGTATCAGGGACTTCCTTAATGCAAAATTCAACAGACATTTTTTCTTTCTGCAGGCCTCTTTAATTCTTGATGCTCTCTATTCCTTTGGCTTCTGGGATACTGAACTCTTCTGCTTCTCTACATACCTTTCTAACCGTTCTGCATACTTACAGGCTTTTCCTTCTCCCCTATGCTTTAAATGTTTAATGTTCCCCAAGGTCATTTTCCTAGGTTACCTCATCTATTCTGAAACTTAAATTACTACCAATGTGTCGATGGTACTCAAACTAACATTTCTAGTCTAGACATTCATACTTGAATGTTCAGATAGCTCTCTGAATGTTACAGGGGCATCTCAAACTTAAGAGGTCTAAAAATGAATTTGTTGTCTTGGTACCAAATAGATATCAACAAATGATGCAACCATTTGTCCAGCTGCCAAAATTCATGTCTTGGTTTTATTTCTGTCTTCTACCAGAAAACTGAAGAAAGTCTATAGATTTTATAATAAATTAATAAACTGTTGTAAAGAGTAAATCAAGAACCTACCTTAAACTTTATTTTCAGTTTTTGCGTTTCTGTAGGGACCTCCTTTTTTACTGCTTCCTGTTCCCCATCAGAATCACTATGTGAATCTGATGATTTGGACTCCTCTAGGGTGCCAAGTGACTTCTCATTGACTTTACTAGAAAGCAGATCGCCAGAGTGTGGAATAAAATCATCAGGTTTTTCCCATCTGGATTCTATTCAACACATTTTAATAGTCATGTTATTTAGTTACCAATTCTACTTAGGAATAATTCCCAATATAATGTTTCCTGTCACTTACAGTATATTATTAAGTGACAACACTGCATCTGTTTCACACCATCACCTGATCAATCAGATAATAAATAAGACTTCCCAAAGTTCTTGCTGTTATCTTTCAGAAACTAATTTCAAACAATCTAGATTCATTAAATGTATGAACTATAGCCCCAGTGGAAAGAGACCTAAGAACAGTGTGATACTTTCTGAGGACTCAATTTTAACTGATACCAATTTCAGGAAATGTGATAATGAGCATACATGAGATTTCCTGGAATCTTCACAAAGTGAAATAACATGGTGAGGATGGGAAAGAATATAATTTGTCCTTGTATAGTAAGAAAAAAAAAAGCTAAATTGAATTCTACTGCCATCTAGTGGTTTACTGGGCTTTTAGAAATGACAGCAGTTCTGATTATCCTGCAGTTTTTCTCTATTTTTAGTTTAATAAAACAGAAAAGGATTCTAAAATTTATTACTCAACTGGGAAAGTTTTAAGTGTGAAAGGGGTTCTATTAGTAATTATTAGTAATTACTAATTAGTCCAGACCTAAATCAAAATTTTTGAGGGCAAATCAATATGTATAGTCAGTCCCTTATTAATTACAGGGTACTTTCCAGCTCTAAAGAGAAACATTTCTTTTCCTTGTCTCTATTTCACAAAGTAACAAAAGAACTTTCAAGAAATAATTTGTTAAGCATCTAACACGTACCAGGTACTGTTTTGGGAACTTTATAGACACATGACCATCATTACACCATGGAGTACAGGATCATCTCTACTCTACTTAAGAGCAATTATAGGCCCAGTGACTTGTTCACAATCACACAGCTGTTAACAGAAGAAGCTGTGCATTGAGCTCATTTAGATCTAACTCTCAAGCTATATTATATGTTATTTTGTCTCTAAATATTCAGTACATCAAGTTTATTGAGATAGAACCACTGTCACCACTGGGCAAGCTGGGTACCTACCTGGAGGTTAAAAGGGCCATTTCTTCCTAAAAGATGTAATGCTATGTTGAAATCTTTGGATTGTAGGAATTAAAAAAAAGCCCCCAAAAACCTCTCAAAGTTACACCAGTACTATAGCTATTTTGTAAATTTTACTGCAGAATAAACCAAGTACAGTCAGTGACTAGAAAGACTAGTTTATAATTTATTAGAAATTAATTTAGATAAAATCTTATCTTGAAAAGCATAGGTAATAATTAGGTAACAATAATTATGCAAGATTTGTAAATATTTATATAACTGAAACATTATTAAATTAGTAAAAGTTAAAATTATAAACAGTATTAGCCACTGCTAAAACAGCTTCAGTTTTGTTTTTAAAAAAGGAAAAGGCAAGTTGAACAAGGTGATCTCAAAGGTACTTTCCAAGATAATGATTATATTTCTAAAATGACCATGATAAAAGTCAATAATGGTAGAGAAAGTAAAAATGATTTTCAAAGTAAAAATATTTGTGAATGCAGTATCAACAGAGAATAACAATGACACAGAAAATTTTTTTTGCTTCTCCATTGTATTAATGTTTGTAAATGATAAAAAAAATACTATATATTGTTATAGAAATATGTTTATTACTATACTAAAATTCTCAAGTTCAGACAATTCATCAGCAGGTTAAAAAGTAGTTCCAGGTACAGTAGATAGTTAAAAAGATAATCAAAGGTAAGGTAATACTTACCTCCTGTTTCTGTATTATAATAATAGGTATAACCATCTTCACTTAAACCTTCTACCCAAACAGTCTTCACTGCTGTCTAATGGGAAGGAAAAAACCAACATAAATTGAAGATAAAGACATGGTAATGTATTAGATAACTAAGGCACAGTCAGCCAACCTTTCCTTTCCTCTTGACACCTGGGAATTCGGGGTGGTAGTACTCATCATGGCCAGGAAGCTTGGTTTGTGTTAAATCATGAGCCACCTTTCAGTGAGGGAATGTCTCACCTCTGAAAGCCAGGAAGAGTTCTTTGCAGATGGACAGGGAAATGTGAATGGCAACTGACTGCAAATCAACTAATAATATTCGCCCTACATGGAGTTTTTGGGTAGATACAACTTTTCTTTTTCACGTCCATCCAGCCTTCTAACAAAAGGATACAAGAGAGGAACAAAGTGGGGCAGGGGGAGATTGGGAGGCTTGTCTGGAAGTAAATCTGCTTAACAAAATTCTACAAAAATCCCAGAAGCCGATCACGTTAAGGAATAAAGAAAAGACACTATTAATGTGCTTCAGTTACCTTTTTTAAGTTTCCTTGAAATCCTTCAGGCTTCTCCCACTGAGATGCTTAAAGCAAAATATATTGCATTTGTAAAATCTTTTTGCTTCAAAAGAAAAAAAAAGCTTTCCAAAAAATTTAATACGGCACAAATTTACAAAATACTCAACATGTACAAAACACTATAGGCCTATAGTTTAAAACATAATTGAAAAATAAAAAAGAACAACCTAAATCCCAGTAGCAGTGTGTAAAAGAATACAAGTGAATGCTATGTAACCAAGGAAGGATAAGAGTTACTGGTATTTCCACATGAATTATTAGAGCCAGGTGGGGCTTCTCTTCAACACTTCATGGAATTTAAGGTTGGTAAGTTTTGAAGGCATGAGAAGGCCTTCTGATATCTTGGGGCAGGGGAGAGAAAGAGGTGGAATGAATGACTTAGAAGAAGAGGAATAAGATGAAGTATGTAGGAATTAAAAACATGTATTGCTAGAGTAAGAGTATACGAAGTAGGATGGTGAACCAAGGAAGCAAGTAATAGGCACAAGAAAGAAGAAACAATGTAATTAATGAATAATTTTCTATGTGAATTTGAGGAAGACTTACAATCCCTAGCATACAATCATTTATGGTTCACTGCTGAACTGTAACATGCACTTAACGCTCAGCGTACCCTGAGAGATTACTCCTTTATCTATGCTGTCCAAAATTGATTGTGATTCTAAAGATCGTAAGAATTATCCTGATACTGGTAGCCCAAGATTTTCTTCACACTTAACTCTCTGATCTCATTTCCTACCTTCCCAACCATTCTTCACTTTTTTTCTGGCTCTCCTTCTATCCATTCCTTTAAGAACAGTACCACCCACACTTTCTACTTCTTGTTCTCTTCTTTCCCCTTGTGAGCTCTTACAACTCCTAAAAGTTAACATATTTAGAAGGTCTTACTGAGAAAACAAAGTTATAGTTCATTTCTAAGGAACTCACTATTAAGTCTTTAATTATGACACTGAGTCACTATGAGAACGGTACCTTTTTAAAGGGCACGTAATTTTTTTTTTACCATTGTGGCAAAAATGTAAAGTTAGTCTTTCATTGTTCAAATGTTCCAATATTAACTAAAAGTTCTAATCTAAAATAAACTGTAAGTTATCATTCTCTACTAGTTCTATGCCTAAATAACTTACCTCCTGTGATAAGATCATAATAGTAGTGGTAACCCTCAGAGGTTATGCCTTCTACCCATCTGCCCTTTGAAGGGTCTTTTTTCTTTTTCTTCTTTTCTTTCTGCCGATTTGATGTAGAGGTGGGTGGGCCAGTGCTGGTTACTGGTGATATGTTTGGCTCTGGAATTTCTAGAGAAAGATGAGAGAAGGGTGAAGTAGCTGATGTAAATTTAATTTTTTTGCTGGTATAAAACAATAATGTTATTCCAGTCAAAAGCTTGACAAGATTCTTTTGGGAACTTGACACATTATAATAAAGCCTGCTTGGAAAACTAAACATGCAAGAATTTTAGAATATCCAGGAGAATTACAAGAAAGAAATGATAAGGGGAAGATACTACAACATCCTAAAGTTATGATTAAAAACCCAGTAGTGTAAAACTGATGCAGGAGTAGGCAAACATATGACTGAAACATAACAGTATAGAAACAGATACAACTGCAGATTTTCAGTGTTTCTTATTAGAGGAAAAAAGAGATAATTCCATAAATGATGTTGGACTAACTGGTTAATTATTTGGACAAAAGTAAAGCTATTCCCCACTCCCTGGTCCCTCTCGTGTTTTTACACCAAAATAAATTCCAGCTCAAAAATACTTAGAAAAAGAATACAAAGTAAAATAATGTTAAATTTGACTACATAAAAATTGAAATATTCCATAGAGCAAAATAAAAACAAACATATATACAAGAGAGACATGATGAATCATTACAACAAATATGACATAGAGTTTATGTTCCTGACAAATCCAACATTCTAACAGAAATAAGTAGTTTTTATGGCTTTGCTTTTTTTCCAAAGGAATGGCTAGTTATTTCCAACATTAGTTAATAAATCAACTTTATTACTAGAAAAAGTATAAATCCGCCCAAGATTTCTGGAGACAGTTTGGTTTTATCAGTCAATATGTAGTATATATTTACACTTTGAACCCGCAATCTCACTTCTAGAAATTGAACCTAGAGATAAATGTGAAAACATGCATGCATCAGGACACTCACTGACTCATTCTAACAGTGAAAAACTCTTAAGAAACCTAAATGTTAACCAATAAGAGATTAGTTACATAAATTATGGCATTTTAATGGCATTCTATTATGGCGTGTCATATCCTTTATTGAACACTTGTTTAGTGCTCATTGTAATAAGCAATTTATACCATTATGTTACTTAATTTTAGTAAAAATCAAAGGTCGTACCACTAGCAAGAGGCAATTCTGGTTGACTCCAAAGCCTGTGTCCCTAACTACTATGTAGTCACTAAAAATGATGTGTATCCTTAATTATTCAAAATGAGAGATGTATTTGACATATCATTGATGGAAAAATAAAACAACCTCCAAAGGGACAATAGAATAAAATGTTTTGCGAAGCAAACTATAAACAAAATGAGAAGACAACCTAAGGAATAGGAGAAAATACTTGCAAAGGATGTGACAGACAAGGGCTTAATTTCCAGAATGTACAAACAGCTCATACCACTCTGTAACAAAAAAAGTCCCAAGCCAAAAATGGGCAGAAGACCCAAAAAAGCAATTCTCCAATGAAGACATACAAATGGCCAGCAAGCACGTGAAAAATGCTCAGTATCACTAATTATCACAGAAATGCAAACTGAAACTACAATGAGGTATCAACTCACACCAATCAGAATTGCCATCATGCAAAATTGAAATGATAATAATAAAATCTGAACGATAAATGCTGGAGAGGGTGTAGAGAAAAGGGAACCCTCCTACACTGTGGAGGGTGGGAATGTAGTTTAGCCATTATGGAAAACAGTATGGAGATTTCTTAAAAAACTAAAAACAGACTTACCATAGGACCCAGCAATCCCACTCCTGGGAATATATCTGGAGAAAACTCTAATTAAAAAAGATACACATACCCCAATGTTCATAGCAGTACTATTTACAATAGCCAAGACATGAAGGCAACCTAAATGTCCATCGACAGGTAATTGGATAAAGAAATTGTGAGATACACACACACACACACACACACACACACACACACACACACACACACACACAATGGAATACTACTTAGTCATAAATAAGAATAAAACAATGCCATTTGAGGCAACATGGATGGACCTGGAGACTGTCATTTCAAGTGAAGTAAGCCAGAAAGAGAAAGAAAAATGCCGTATGATATCGCTTATATGTGGGATCTAAAAAAAGACACAAATGAACTTATCTACAAAACAGAAACAGACTCACAGACAGAGAACAAACTTATAGCTACCAGGTGCAGGTAAAGGGCTGGGAAGGGATAAACTGGGAATTAGAAAACTGCGTCTCTTGGGGAGTGATGGAACTGTCGGCTCTCTTGATTGTGGTAGTCGTTTCCTTGGTGTATACATCTATCAAACTTCACCAAATTGTACACTTGAAATATGTGTAGTTTACCGTACAGGAACCATACCACAGTAAAGGTATTAAAAAATAAAAAAATAAAAAGACGACACAAATGAAATTATTTACAAAATATAAACAGACTCACAGACACAGAAAACAAACTTACGATTAACCAGTGGGGGAAAGGGGCAGGGTAGAGGGATAAATTGGGAGTTTAGGATTTGTAGATACTAACTACTATATATAAAACAGATAAACAAGATCCTACTGTATAGCACAGGGAAATTCATTACCTTATAACAGCCTATAATGAAAAAGAATATGAAAAGGAATATATATATGTATAACTGAATTACTATGCTGTACACCAGAAATTAACACATTGTAAGCCAACTATACCACAATAAAAGTAAATAAATATGCTGAAAAATGTATAACTTTATTAAAAAAATTCTAAAGATGACTGGAGAAATCTTAAAAAGAATTAATTTTGAAAACTCTTCTTTGTATACATTGTACTTTTAATGGAATATATATTCTATTTAGAAAACAAGGGCATTAAAAACATTTGACAGGAAAAATCCAATTAAATATAAAATACTGATTTATTTGCTAATAGGGCAGCATAATGGAAACTTCCAATCTACATAACTGAGATGAATTTTCAAATACGTCTCTAATTCTGCAGGAATGCCTACATCCTTTCTCTTCTTAAAACAAACATTAAGTTTTATCTTTGTGGAAATACTCTCCCCCCTCCTTCCTTTAACAACATCAGGATATATTTTTAAAGTCTGGTCACCACTGTTCTTACTTGATGAGGACAATGCCAATTAACTTAACTATTATTCTGCTTAAAAAGTTAATTGAAAGCAGTATTTGTTAGAGAGAAATACCATTCCATGTTGACTACCCCAATCACTACAAAAGATCAACAACTGAGCTGTTATAGGCCTGGTTTAAGGACAATGACTTGTCCCTGAAGAAATGCTTATAGGAAGTTACCTAAATTCAATGACAGGATAGATACACTCCTCTTAAATAACGCCTTTTATCTGGAACTGAGTATTCCTCACACCCTCAAATTATCTACCTTCTTGCTGGCGAGGATGTGGTGGAAGGGGAGCCCTTATACACTGCTGGTGGGAATGTAAAGTGGATCAACCACAATGGAAAACAATTTAGAGGTTCTTCAAAAATTTAAAAAATAGGTCTACCATACCACCAGCAATTTTACTTCTGGGTATACACCTAAAGGAAATGAAACTGGATTTTGAAGAGATTTATGCTTATTGCAGTATTACTCACAAGTAAGTTATCACAGTTAAGATAAAGAAATAGTCAAATCCCCATCAACAGTCTAATGGATAAAAAAGACATGGCATATATATTTTTATTTACATACAGCTTCCCTGATATATGTATGTGACTATTATTCAGCCACGAGGAAGGAGGATATCCTGCCATTTGCGACAACATGGATGAACCTTGAGCACATTATGCTAAGTGAAATAAGCCAGGCAAAGAAAGTCAAATACTGTATGATATCACTTATATGTGGTATCTAAAAGTCAAACTCTGAAAAACCAAGCAAAATGGTGATTAACAGGGGATGGGGGATGGAGGGATAAGACTGATGTTAAGGGTACAAACATACAATGAGAAGTAAATAAGCCAGAGATCTAAAGCAGAGTATAATGAATATAGACAATGATATTGTACTGTAATTATGGTATTGATAAATATTGCTACAATGGCAATCATTGACAAATATATAAATGTAACAAGTATATCAAGGTAACACACTGTATACCTTAAATTTATACAATAGTACATATCCAATATATTCAATTAAAAATTTAAAAATTTACCTACCTAGTGGTATCCATCTAGTAGTGAAGTCAGTTAATTTGTTCACAAAAGACTAATTCACTACAATTCGACCATATAAATGTGATTCATAGTTTTGCCCATATGGATAAAGTGAACTGTGGTTATAATGCAAGGCCTATTTTTTTAATGAATAGATCCATTTAGCCAAATAATTAGGATACTGAAGAACTCACCTGTCTCTGAAATGAACCACTGACCTAAGACAGAGCTAGGACTAGGTAACCACAAGGTAGTATGGCTGCTGTGAACGGGGGTATGGAAAGATGAAGATTCAAAAGTAAAACAAAAGTGCATGAGCAAAGCGCCATGGTCTAAAAAGGGCTGTGATGCACAGGAAAAGCACAAGAGTATATGAAGTGTATAACCTTTTGATGGAAACAATGAAAGCTCACTGAGCATGACCTCTGATGTTACTTTTAAAACATGCTGGCTGCGTCCTTACCTGACTCCAAGCCAAGCCTTTTCAAATCCTCTTGGTATGCTTTCAGGGCAGCTGCCTCCATAGCAGCAAACTCCTTTGATGCCTTTTCTTCTTCCTTTGCCTTATCCAGGCTTTTCTGTTTAATCTATGTAAGACACATATAAAAATGAGAGCTAGATAAAAGACGATACTTACACAGAAAAACTGGCAAAGAAAGAAACAAACTGATTACCTCACTGATTCTCTTTGCCACATTTTCCTTGTGATTCTTTCCTCTTTCATGAAATTCAACACTCTTGAAAATGAAAAAAAAAAGAATATTCAAAGGAAAACTACACATCATAATGTTCACAGCAAAGTAACAGTAAATATAGGAATGGAACATAACAAAATAGAAACGACAACGATTGGCAGAAAAGATAAAAATAATTTTAATGCAAATTGGCCTTTTTATCAAATGATGCTAAGTACTGAACCACATTATTTATTATTGTGCCCTCTTACTAAGTTTCCTTTGGTGCTTAAAATAAACTATGATGACCCTATTAATGGAGAAAAATACAAGGTACCCGTGAGTATGACTGTAATGAGGACTCAAACAAGACATGGAACCAAAAGAAGAGTGGGAAAAAAAATCTTAACTTCAAGAAACACCTCTCAGCATAAAATATCAAAATGAGTGAGTCTCTAGAATTTATACTCCTCCATTTGCCACATTAGGTTAAGAGACATGGAGAATAAACAATGATCCTTAGAACCTTACTCCTCAGAACTGAGAGAAAAGTAGACATTAAAAAATTCCTCCTAAATTGTAAACTAATGCTTTTATACAATGTGGTAATGGTACAAAATGTAAAACTCCTATGCAGGGCAATCTCCCACTATCAGAATTAGGCTGCTGTAATAGAGAACAAACAAGCCCCTTACATACTGACAATGAGAGAGTTCCAGGGTACGCTGTTCAATTAAGAACAAAAACAACTACAGTGCCGGAGAGTGTAAACAGTATGCTTACCTTTTATGTATGCTGGAATAAGAATCTATATCTAAACGCATATAGAAATAATGGAAGGATAGACAAGAAAATAAAAAAAGTGGTAACCTATGAGGAATGATGGTAACTGGTTGGGGCAGAGGTGGGTGAGTGAATGTTATTACCTATTTAAAACAGCCAGAAATGCTCCCTAAATTACAAATGTGGTGTTGTTTGCAGTAAGAAATTTCTGGTAAACTTTGCAAAATAAGTTTTGTCAATCAATTCTTATCTAACACAACAGCTGAGCTATTCTGAGATACTACTATGAATTCCTCTTTAAAGTGTGACTTCATCATGCAAATATTCATCCTCTATTTTTTACATACTGGTTTCCTAACGTTGGTTATACTACACAAAGAATATTAAATGTTCATTCGAAAATAAATTAATTTTGTTTCCAGTTAAAGGTTAAATCAATGTATAATAGCAATTCAAGGAGAGGAAGAAAGACTATTCTAGAAGGAATTACTCACTCTAGATAACTCAAAAACTTCACTGAACTGCTTGGACACTTCAAGGCAGAGGGATTATCAGTGATTTGTGTAGGTTTTCAAATTTGTGGCATTTATTTATAAGTGTGGCTTAAGCCAAACAAGGTAGCCAAGAACTTTAGCAACTACTCCACAAGGCCAAAATAACAAACAAAACCGAAAACAAAAATATCCTCAAACTCCTTGCAGACAATAGTCAGTAAATGTCCACCAATGAAGTACATTATTAAAGTTGGGGCTACTATTCTTTTGTACATCCAACTCTACCAAATAACAATGACATGAATATAAAACATACTATATACATAGTAGTATGACATGCATGAGAGAGGGGGAAAGCAAGGGTGCTTTTTATGTCTTTAAAGCTGAATTTGGATAAAAGATACGGTAATAATGTGCTTAAAAGTTGCTATTTTCATATCCCACGACAAAGGTAATGATATTATTTCAAATTTAAGCATTTACAGATATAAAGCTCTGTATCAAATATATTTATCTTTAGAACAGAAAACATAAGAGAAAAACTGTAATAATTTTTTAACACATTAAGGGCTTTCTGACTTGACTTTTCTTTGTATATAACAATATTACAAACAGCACCATCATAATGCAAGTATTTCATAAACATGAAGCAGTTATCCACTCAATCCACTGAATGTGACTGAAGGGCCATAGAGAAATAATTTGGCTTAGTATATAATCAAACTTGGGATGATGAAAAGGAAGAAGGCTCACAGCTTTCTTACTAGGCATGAAAAGACAATAGAAACTGTTTCATGTTTTGAAAAATCAAGAGCAGTGTATATGGGAGTGCTTCGTAAGCTCTGAGTTTAGATCAAAAAGGAATACTTCACATGAACACAGTATTATTAGAATCTCTAACAGAGGAATTATCATACAGGCCTATTGTCCGCTATCCAGCACTTGCAGTAATCACAGAATTTCTTTGGTTGTGACTTCCAGTAGTCTGCCCTGGAAAAGGGAAAAACAAATTTAAGCTTTAGAATTCAAAAACGTAAATTATTGCCTGATTTACACCCTAAAGAGCCTGAAATATAAGCCTCTGCTACCGAATCTTTTGTTGTTATACACAGCTCCCTGCTTTATTATTTAGCTGATTAAAAGCAAGCAACTGAAAATTATTGCCGGTAGAACAGTAAAAGTCTGCACCGGGCTTAAAACTCCCTCAAATAAAATAAGCTTAAAAAAATTCTCATTTGTTACTGTCATCCGCGTGAAGAAATAAGGAACATCTTGGAGAAGATTATCCTTTCCATTCCTTTCTGGCATTTTAAGAGGTTACTGCAATAGAAGCATGAAGAGACTCATAAAGTTTGCTTTAAATCCATTTCCACCAAAAGAACAAAGCACAAGACGCCTCTGGCCCAGACTATCAGTCAATACAATTTGTTCTGAGCTTCACGGCAAGAAAGAGTTGGAAAAGTCAAAGGACCTCTCAGCAGGCAAGGCCAAAAAGAAGAAAAAAAAAGAGAGAGAGAAGTCATATGCTAACCAGGGCTGGCCGCTTCTAATAGGGGGAGGAGGTAGCGGTGGCCGCCGTCCAACCCTGAAATTTCACAACACCCCAGGGTTCCAGCGCTACAAAAACGAAAAGGGCGCTCGTGGCCCCCGACCGTGTAGGTGGAAGGAGCACTTCGCGGGCGGCCGTCCAACCTCCAAGGGCCGCCAGCCTCCCTTCCTCCCGGAGCCCGTGCTCCAAGCCCCCGGGGCGCTCTGCGGGGTAGCAGTTCCATCCCGTCCAGAGAACCAGCCCCGCCGGTCGGCTGCCGGTCCCGAGCGAGTTAAGGGAGCGTCCGACACGCCCCTGGCCGAGGGCTGGGGGAGAGGGGCGGCGGCGGAGGGAGAAACCCGGCAGGGAAACGGCCGCCCGGCGAAACAACACCTCGTTGTTTAGAGGCCGAGACCCGACTCACATGACTGGGCCAGCCGCTCCGCCGGTCACCACTGCGTCCGGCTTAGGCGCGCCTTCCCCACGCGAGGCGAGTCAGGGCCTGGCCTGCAGCGAGGCCCACCAGAGCCTCGGAGCCTGGACGCCTCCCTCCTTCCCGGGGACCAGTGTTCCACGGTTCCCAACTACGGGTGCCCAGACGACCCAATCCGCGTTCGCAATCTCCTCCCCTTCCCCTCCCCTTCCAGGGGCGGTACTCCCGGCTCCGGAGAGGTGGGGTCTCTATAAAGGGGTTGAGGTCACCGAGAAGGGGCGAAAGCGCGACGGGACTTGAGCTGAAAGACGGGAAGCTCAGGCCTCACGTTCCCGCGTCATCCGGCTTTCTCTCTCCTCTCTGTCTCTCTCTCCCTGAGACCCAGAACCTCCACCCTTCTTCTAGGCTTGCTGGCTCGTGGCCAAGGAGCTCGCGCGCCGCCTCCGCCCCGAACGCAAACAGCTGTTCCCAGAGACGTCGCCGCCCTCAACTTTGCCAACTAGTCCGCACGCACTTTGACCAGCGGAGCAGCCCGGACCTGTAGGCTGGGGGCCGTTGGCGGAGTTAAAAAAAGAAGAGAGGTGAAACTGTTGGTTTTGGGGCCGCGAGTCGCTGGGTTTGC